CAAGCTTCATATCTATCTATCTATCTATCTATCTATCTATCTATCTATCTATCTATCTATCTATCATCATCTTTCTCTATCTCTAGCTAGATAGCTAGATATAGATATAGATATATAATATAACCTATCAACCCCTTACTTAGAAGTAAGGGGAAATTTCCTGACAGTGAGAACAACCAGTCAATGGCTTGCCTACAGAAGCTGTGGGAGCTTTATCACTGGGAGTTTTCAAGAAGGGCCTGGGCAACCATATGTCTGGAATGGTATAGGCTCTTGCCTGAATGGTGGGGCTGGACTAGAAGACCTCCAGGGTCCCTACCAACTGTTATTCTGTTAATCAGTGGGATGGCTTGCCTCCAGAAGTTGTGGGTGCTCCATCATTGGAGGCTTTTAAGAAGAGATTGGACAACTATTTGTCTGCAATGGTCTTCTGCTTGAGCAGGGGGTTGGACTAGAAGAACTCCAAGGTCCCTTCCAACCCTCTTATTCTGTATTCTGTATTGCCATGCCAAACCCTCGCTCCTTTTTCAAAGCAGAGTAGGAAAAGAAACTCCAGACAAGCATGAACATTCTCGAGATAAATAATCTTAGAATAGTGGCCTATAATAATGAGGTCTTCTCCAAGTCCAAACCAAGCAGAATTTCCACTGGTTCCTGCAGGACAGGACTCCTACAACGACCTTCCTACCCCAGAGCATTTAAACGTGCATTTACCTTCCCTTGTGAGGCCTCCCTCTCTCGGGCATCCCAGCCGACGTTCTCCGATTCACCGTCGAGTACTCTGGATCGAGTTCATAACCTTCGTCGTCAATTCCGAGGCTGCGGTTATCGTCCTCCAGCCCGTACGGCTCCGGTTGGAACCGTTCCGGCTGGGAGCGGTTCAGGTCTGCGTTGCTGCCCGTCGGCACCTGAGGCTGGGCCAGAGGTCCATAGTTATCCCTCCTGCTTGGCAAAGTGAAGCTACCATCCTCGGGCCGGTAATTGTTCCCCGGTACGTAGCCGTAATGCGGGCGGTAATTGACACTCCGGGACAAGCTTCCATAATTGTCCGGCAGGTCTCCATAACCATTGTGGCTTACGAAGGAACGATATTGGCCATCGTGACTCTCTGGATAGGAATCGTTGTAGCTGTTGTAAGCTCGGTTCAGAGTGGACGATGCCTGGGGGGTGATGTACCGTTCTCCGTTCTTGACCTGCCTTCTGTCTATGGAGTCAGTGTAGCTACCCATGGGGGAGGATCCATCCATCGTTGGGAGGCCATCAGGACCAAGGGGAACTTGGCGCACCGTTCTAGTTGTGACGGTCTTGACCATCTTGGTTACCTGTGAGGAAGAAAGAGGGAGAAAGGAACACAGACATAATTTATTTTGGGGGGACCTCAGTAGGCTTCAGTGTAGATTATTTTACACCCACACTTTTGCACCAATGCCAATCCCAACCCAAGGGAATGAGTGGATGAGCCTTTGGCCATCAATTGATATCCTTCACAAGGACGTTGGAAGTGCTCTGTAAAAGATCTAGGCCTATCTCAGTCAACATCCTCTTCGTCATCATCTTCTTCTTCTTTTAATGACCCCATAATCCCCTGCTCTGGACCAAAAGCTTTGACCTTAATAGAAAAGTTCATGAAACACAACCTTCATGAAGTTCACCTTCCAGCTACCAGCCCTGGCTGACATCTTCGCATCTCGCTGTTTGAGGAAGTGGCATAGACTCTTCCCATTCTGCTTACAATCTTTTTAGACTGTTGCCTTCTGGCAGAAGATACAGAACAATTAAAACTCGGACCACACGTCCTCTGAATAGCTTTTATCCCAGAGCTATAATGGCACTCAACAATGAACTAAAGGCAATAAAAATTTACTGATTTATTTAAGTTTTACTTCTAATTGCTTATGTCACCTGCAATCTCTAGGAAAGTATGGAAAACATCTTAGGTGGATTGTTGTCTTTTAATTTCCTTCCTAATCTATTTTTGCTCTATAGAAGCTTTCTAGTCAGCTGGGCTAGGTGAAAATACCTCAGCATATTTTAGAAACATGTAAGATTTTTGAAGACTTGAAGATTTCCATTTCAGAAAGAAAAGTATGTTATTAAGCTGCATTAGATTTTATTACTGTACCTAGAAGCCCCCATGATTGCTGCTATCTTTTATAACCATCATCACATCCTCTGTTAAGCACATTGGCTACAAGCATACTCCAGTTCTCTGTCCACAGCTACTGTCTCCACATCCTTTCATTTAAGATTGATTTTAATGAGTTATTAAAATGAGTCATCAATGAGCTATTGAACAGCACTACTTGGTCTGTTGTGTGGATGCTTGGGTGGTTTAGGGGCAGGGAATTTTTTTGGTGTGTGTGTGTGTGTGTTTGGGGATTGTTTTGTGTGTTGGGCCTGGTCTCTGGGTGTTATGTGAATTTCATTGTATGTGTATACTGTGTATGTACGTACAATGACAATAAAGTAAAGTAAACATGACCTTAATAGAAAAGTTCATGAAACACAACCTTTAAAGGTTCCCCTTGCACATCTGTGCTAGTCGTTCCTGACTCTAGGGGGCGGTGCTCATCTCCGTTTCAAAGCCGAAGAGCCAGCGCTGTCCAAAGATGTCTCCATGGTCATGTGGCCAGCATGACTCAGCACCGAAGTGCATCGAACACCGTCACCTTCCAACCAATGGTGGTTCCTATTTTTCTACTTGCATTTTTACATGCTTTCAAACTGCTAGGTTGGCAGGAGCTGGGACAAGTCACGGGAGCTCATTCTGTTACGCGGCACTAGGGATTCGAACCGCCAAACCACCAACCTTTCTGATCAACAAGCTCAGTGTCTTCGCCACTGAGCCACCACGTGTATCTTGCTTCACTGTATCTTGCTTCAAAACAATCCCCCATAAGTTCTGTTCACGATCTTTCACCCCTATAAACATGCCACTTGGCTAAAGACCCCGACCGGCGTTCGCTCACCAAGGGGGCGGAATTGAAGCCAGCCACCCTTTAATAACACAAACACATGTTGTCGAAAGGACAGGGTAAACACAGCATGTTCTGTGAATGTCTGACACCCGTGGGTGTTGGTATGTACTGCCAGGGTAACAACACCCCGCAAAGTTTTGAACAGCCAAAGCTCGTTATTAATAACCTCCAACAGACAGCATGCATGTGAAAATAAGCAGATAGGAAAGAAAGAGAAATCAGTTTTAGCCAATGTTTTCACCCTGCCTTCCTTCTTCACAACAAGAGGTTGTCTTAGATTTACCCACCAACAAAACACTCCACCGCCCCACCAGAGCTGGGCAAGAAAATTCCACACAAGTAGATTTTTTTGGGGGGGGGAGGGTAAAAGATCTCTTCTAAAATGAAGCCCAACTGGGTGACTTCGGGCCAGTCTCTCACTCCCAGTCTCCAACCCCACCTCACGGGGCTGTTGTTGTGGGGAAAATAGGATGAGGAAAGTATGCTGGGTATGTTCGCCACCTTGCGTTATTTGTAAAAATAATACAGGCAGGGTGTAAATGAATAATAAGTCACTTCAGTATCCTGCCAACAAATAATTAAGCTTTTTTTGAAATGGTGTAGGGTCTCCTGCTTGGGCGGGGGTTGGAGCAGAAGTCCATTCTTTCCCTTCATTCCATATTCTATTCTATTCTATTCATTATTCTGTTCTATTCTATTCCTTTCATTATTCTATTCTATTTTGTTCCATTCCATTCATGATTCTATTCCATTCCATTCTATTCCATTCCATTCCATTTTATTATTCTACTCTATTATTATTCTATTCTGTTCTATTCCATTCATTATTCTATTCCATTCCATTCCATTCCATTTTATTATTCTCCTCTATTATTATTCTATTCTATTCCATTCATTATTCTATTCTATTCCATTCTGTTCCATTATTATTATTCTACTCTAGTATTATTCTATTCTATTCCATTCCATTTTATTATTCTACTCTATTATTATTCTATTCTATTCCATTCCATTTTATTATTCTACTCTATTATGCTATGCTATGCTATTCTATTCTGTTCCATTCATTATTCTGTTCTATTCTATTCTATTCCTTTCATTATTCTATTCTATTCTGTTCCATTCCATTCATTATTCTATTCCATTCCATTCTATTCCATTCTATTATTCTACTCTATTATTATTCTATTCTATTTTGTTCCATTCCATTCATTATTCTATTCCATTCTATTATTCTACTCTATTATTATTCTATTCTATTTTGTTCCATTCATTATTCTATTCTATTCTGTTCCATTCATTATTCTGTTCTATTCTATTCCTTTCATTATTCTATTCTATTCTGTTCCATTCCATTCATTATTCTATTCCATTCTATTATTCTACTCTATTATTATTCTATTCTATTCCATTCCATTCATTATTCTATTCTATTCTGTTCCATTCATTATTCTGTTCTATTCTATTCCTTTCATTATTCTATTCTATTCTGTTCCATTCCATTCCATTCATTATTCTATTCTATTCCATTCCATTATTCTACTCTATTATTATTCTATTCTATTCCATTCCATTCATTATTCTATTCTATTCTGTTCCATTCATTATTCTGTTCTATTCTATTCCTTTCATTATTCTATTCTATTCTGTTCCATTCCATTCTTCTGTTCTATTCTATTCCTTT